CATTTTTGACACTACCTGGAGTTAATACAACCAATTATACATTCAAAATAGGGGGGGGAAAAGTGCTGCTGGAAAATAGCACCGGTAGACTTGCTTGACACAGGGTTGCCACAAACCTTCAATTTGTAAAAAAAACCCCACAGTATCGGGCTTCCCTGGTGGCGCAGTGGTTGAGAGTCTGCCTGCTGGTGCAGGGGACATGAGTTCGAGCCCTGGTCTGGGAAGATCCCACATGCCGCGGAGCAGCTAGGCCCGTGAGCCACAACTGCTGAGCCTGCGCGTCTGGAGCCCGTGCTCCGCAACAAGAGAGGCCGCGATAGTGAGAGGCCCGCGCTCCGCGATGAGGAGTGGCCCCCGCTTGCCACAACTAGAGAAAGCCCTCTCACAGAAGCGAAGACCCAACACAGCAAAAATAAATAAATTAATAAACAGACAAACAAACCCACAGTATCTGCAAAGTGCAATAAAGTGCAACAATACGAAGTATGCCCGTACAAGAGTTTTAGGAGCTCTCTGGTAAGAACCAAGGACAAAGACCAAATATATATTTCTAATTGTATCATGATATCAGTGTGTTTCTAGGAATTTGTTCATTTCATTTGTTATCCAATTTGTAAAACTCTTACACTCCTTATTTCGGTAAGGTTGGTGGTAACGTCCTCACTTGCATTTCTAATTTTAATAATTTGAGTCTTTTTTTTTGCAGTCGATCTAACTACAGGTTTTTCAGTTTTGTTGATCTTTTCAAAGAACCAGCTCAGTTTGTTGATTTTCTTTTTTTTTTTCTGTTTTCTATTTTACTTATCTCCACTTTAATATTTTTTATTTATTTCCTCATGTTGTACTTCTTGTAGTTCCTTAAGTTGTACAGTTAGGTTATCAATGTGAGAGGCTTCTCTTTTTTTTAATTTTTTTAATTGTTTTTATTTCTTTGCGGTACGCGGGCCTCTCACTGCTGTGGCCTCTCCCGTTGCGGAGCACAGGCTCCGGACGCGCAGGCTCAGCAGCCATGGCTCACGGGTCCAGCTGCTCCGCGGCATGTGGGATCTTCCCGGACCGGGCCACGAACCCGCGTCCCCTGCATCGGCAGGCGGACTCTCAACCACTGCGCCACCAGGGAAGCCCGAGAGCCTTCTTTTTTAAAATCTGTTTAACACATATATGTTTTAATTTAAGTATAGTTGATTTACAATATTTCAGGTGTACAGCAAAGTGAATCAGTTACGTATATATATATGTATTCAGATTCTTTTCCATTACAGGTTATTACAAGGTATTAAATATAGTTCCTTGTGCTATATAGTAGGTCCTTGTTGTTTATCTGTTGGTTTTTCTTTTTTTGGCTGCGCCACGCGGCTTCTAGGATTTTAGTTCCCTGACCAGGGATTGAACCGGGCCCTCGGCAATGAAAGCGATGAGTCCTAACCACTGGACTGCCAGGGAATTCCCATTGTTTATCTATTTTATATATAGTAGTATGTATCTGTTAATTCCAAACCGAAATTCCCAATTTATCCCCCCGCCCCCGCTTTAACAAGTATTTATTGAACACCGGAAGTGTGAGTCCTTAGATCTGATCCCCAACTCCTACGTGCTAATCGAGATATTTACTCCTCACTCCCTCAGGTTTCCTAAGGATGAGACTGCTCAGTGAGACTCTGACTGTACCTGCTGCATCACAAAGATCTACGCAGAGCACGATGGGCATGGGGGCTGAGGGAGGAACACCCATGTGGGCAGTGTGGATCTCACCAGGTACATTTATTCATGCCAGCAGGTCAGTGGCAGGTTCCCATCTGACACAGCTTGCTGAAATCTACAGCCAGACTGACGTTCCCTCCAAGTAAAGCTGGTTAATGATGACCATGAGCAGGCACAGGACTGCTCACGGTCATCATGAGCAGTCAAATTTCAAATCTTTACTTCTTTTATCAGTACTCCTGATTTTGTTTGTTTGTTTGTTTGTTTTTTGTGTTTTTTCTGGCAGTACGCGGGCCTCTCACTGTTATGGCCTCTCCCGTTGCGGAGCACAGGCTCCGGACGCACAGGCTCAGCGGCCACGGCTCACGGGCCCAGCCGCTCCGCGGCATGTGGGCTCTTCCCGGACCGGGGCACGAACCCGTATCCCCTGCATCGGCAGGCGGACTCTCAACCACTGCGCCACCAGGGAAGCCCAGTACTCCTGATTTTATAAATGAAGCCCATCAACTCCATTCCTACCCAAACCTCTTGGTAAACTTGTGTATAGTAGGGCTTCACAGGGATCGAAATATATATTTTTTTGCGGTATGCGGGCCTCTCACTGCTCTCTCCCGTTGCGGAGCACAGGCTCCGGACGCGCAGGCTCAGTGGCCATGGCTCACGGGCCCAGCCGCTCCGCGGCATGTGGGATCTTCCCGGACTGGGGCACGAACCCGTGTCCCCTGCATCGGCAGGCAGACTCTCAACCACTGCACCACCAGGGAAGCCCTTTCCAAATATTTTTAATAAAGCTTTGAAGCATATGGGTGTAGGACCAAAGAATCAGGCTGACCAAACCTGCAAGATCCTTCTGCTTTTTTAAAACTTTTTTTTAACATTTTTTTGTTTGTTTGTTGGGTCTTCATTGCTGTGCGTGGGCTTCCTCTAGTTGTGGCGAGCGGGGGCTACTCTTCGTTGCGGTGCGCGGTCTTTTTGTTGCTGTGGCTTCTCTTGTTGCGGAGCAGGGATTCTAGGTGCGTGGGCTTCAGTAGTTGCAGCATGTGGGCTCAATAGTTGCGGCACGCGGGTCAGTAATTGTGGCTTGTGGGCTCTAGACCGCAGGCTCAGTAGTTGCGGCGCACAGGCTTAGTTGCTCTGCAGCATGTGGGATTTTCCTGGACCAGGGATGGAACCCATGTCCCCTGTGTTGGCAGGTGGGTTCCTAACCACTGCGCCATCAGGGAAGTCCCCTTCTTTTTAATGTAGACATTTACAGCTATAAATTTCCCTTAGCAGGATTTTTGCTGCGTCTCATAATTTTTGGTATAGTGTATTTTCATTTTTATTCATTTCAAGGTGTTTTCTAATTTCCCTTGTATTTTCTTCTTTGACCCATCAGTTAAGAGTGTTATTTAATTTCCACGTATCTGCAGATTTACCTAGTTTTCCTTCTCATTGATTTCCAACTTCATTCCATTGTGACAAGAAAAGACACTTTGTATGATTTCAATCTTTTTTTTTTTTTTTTTTTTTTTTTGTGGTACGCGGGCCCGTCACTGCCATGGCCTATCCCGTCATGGAGCACAGGCTCCGGACGCACAGGCTCAGTGGCCACGGCTCACGGGCCCAGCTGCTCTGCGGCATGTGGGATCCTCCCGGACTGGGGCACGAACCTGCGCCCCCTGCACCGGCAGGCGGACTCTCAACCACTGCGCCACCAGGGAAGCCCTGATTTCAATCTTTTAATATTAAGACTTGTTTTGTGGCCTAACATATGGTCTCCAGTTAAGTTTACAGATGAACATGAAGCTCAGAGGTGAAATGACTTTCTGAAGGTCACACATTTGTTTAGTTATAGAATTAGGGCTAGAACCCAGGTCTTTTGATTCTTAGTCATTCATCACTGACATTTGATAAGGTGTATTAAAAGTGTGAAGGGGCTTAAGGAGCCAAACTTTGCTGGCTCTTCTGCTTTCTCCTGTCACTTGAAAGTAAGTATTCTCCAAGGTTTTGTTTGTCCTCCTACCTCCACACAGTCTCTAGCTGCTTCCATTGCAACCTCCCTCCAGCTTGGAATGCCAGTCCCCTTTTCCAATTCCATGCCTGTTATTTCTACTTTAGTGATATGTGAGAACCTTAGAACCAACATGTGATAAAAGGAACTCAGGTTTTTCTCTGCATTCCGTCAGCAAATTTTCCTAGCATTCCTTTTTTTGTTGTTAATGGTACTGCCACTCATTATCCCAGTGACTCAGGGTGGGAAGACTGAAGGTCAATTTTAATTTTTTTCCCTTCACAAGGTCTTCAAATCTGATTAGCTGAAAACTGTTGTGGTTTCCCTCTGTAGTACTATTCCTATTTGTCCTTTCTTTCACACTTTCACTGCTATTCTGTTACCTTTTGCCTGTATTATTGTAATAGCCTGATAATTCATGCTGCTCTTTAATTACTGCTATACAATATTTATAATCTTTTTAAAGAATAACTATGACGGTGTCATCCTCCTCGCAAAATCATCAAACAATAGCTTCCTTGCGCCCACTGAATAAGGTGCACACTTCTCAGCTTGACATCCAGGGCTCCTCATAATTTTGTTCCAAGCTTTTTATTCCACATTTATTGTAGATTTTACCACACGGCATATGCTCTAATTACCTAAGCCTTAGTCTTGCAACACATACTGCACTGAGTACAAGGTGCTGCGAATCCATTGGGAAACAAAACAGACCAGGTCCTTTCCCATTCTTGCCTCCTGGATCTCAGTCTGATCTTGGACCTACTCTTCTGCACCTTGCACTCCAGACCAGGCTCCTCTAAGAACTTCCCTGTTCCTACCCATGGTGGGCCTAAAGGGAAAAAGGCGGCTGAGGGAGAGGAACAGGAAAAGATTGCAAGGTGCGAAGGTCAAGTGTGAAATCTGCAGCCCGCCTTCCCCTATCAACTACAGCAGGGCCCAACTCTTTACCCCGGAGTTAAATGGGTCTGAATGAGGGCCAGGACTGGGCTTGGCTGAGAAAACAGGGGCAATGGGAGAGAAGTTGGTTTCGGAAAGGAAAGCTTGCCATTTCAAAAACCGTTACAGCCTCTCGTTTCTCAGTCCGCAGTCCAGGCTCTCCTGCTCACTCTCTTCTGGAGCGGTCCAAGCTGGCCTCACCCGGCCTCCCTCGCTCTCTCGTGGCGCTCTCCCTCCCCGCAGTCGCAGTTCCCGCCTAGAGCAGCAGCTGAGCCCACGGAGGAGGGGCGTCTAGCTGGTTCCAGCCTCTTCGGGCACTTAGCTCGCGGACCCGCCCCCCGCGCCAGTTGCCAGGGAGCGGTTGCCATAGAGCTGAGCAGTTGTCCGCGTGCGCAGGCGGAAGTCCCGGATTGAGGCGCCGCCATTTTTGCAGCCCGGGCGCGGAGCGAGAGGCTGAGAGTTGGAGACGCTATCCGCTTCCATCCGTCGCGCAGACCCTGCCGGAGCCGCTGCCGCTATGGATGATCGGGAGGATCTGGTGTACCAGGCGAAGCTGGCCGAGCAGGCTGAGCGATACGACGGTGAGTTGGCGGGGCAACGGGGGGCTGGAATTCTCGGACCCTCTGCCGCCGCCCACAGAGGCCGGGAGCAGGAGACAAAATGGCGGCATCGTCTCCAAGTCTAGCCCGGGGACGTGGATTCGGGAAGCAGGAAATGGCCTCTGGGCTCCCGGAGCGGTAGGAGGCTTCAGGCTCAGGAATTTGACCCTTTCGGAGTCCTCAGCTGCAGACATTCGCGAGCCGAGTAGACCAAGGCCATAGGGTGGAGGAGTTCGTTGTAAAATGGCGGCTGGGGGGG